TATGTTTTATCCTTACAATAGTAGGAAAAAGGTACCAGCTCACGATTGAGGCTAGTAACTTTTCTCTACTATTATACGGATAAGACATGGTGTTGTTCGGGCCAATCCAAGGTTATATAGGATCCTCTATTATATGGCCCGGACAATAGTAGGTTTTATCCGTACAATAGGACTGTATCAAAACGGGGTACCAGTCAAATTGACCACCCCCATATATATACGCAGTGAATTTGAAATGAAAAGTGATATTAGTGAAGAATAAAATCCGATAGAAGTCAAAGTCCGAAAGAGTTCTATAATTTTTCACAATTCTGTATACTATAGATTTTTGGTATAATTACAAATAAAAATGATAATCAAGAAACAAAAATAGCTAAATGAAAATCGAATAATATCATTATAAAATATTCTTCAGTTAGTTTTTAATAATTATTTTTTTTTCTCATTGATTTTAGGTAAACTTCTAGATTAATATTTCGTATTGAATATTCAATGAAGAATGATTCTATAATAGCACCTATCAATGTTCGTTTTAATACAACAAGTTTGTTATTATGAAAAAATATTTTAGTTTTCTTATATTTTAAATTAAAAATTTAATTTAGATAAAAAAATGAAGTAAATATTAATTGTGCTAATCATTATTAATTTGCTTTTGATCGATATCTAATTTCGAATAAATATATATTTGAATCATCAGTATCAGTAGTTTAAAATCAAAATCAACAACGATCACCAGTCAATGTTATACGATCTGGTGATATATTAATCATGTATATTTCTCGAATGTCTCATTTACATTAAGATTTATGAATTAAAATCATTTGTATATTTTTATTCATTTATCTGTTTGATATGTAATCATATCACTTTGTTCATAGAAAAAAACAAATAACAATTAGCATTAATACATTTTATATTTTAAAGTTTTATATGACAAAAAAATATCGTTGTTCTAGATATATCATATATCAATATTCTTAGAAATTTATTTAAAAAAATATATGAATAAATAATTCAATTCGAATATATTACCAATGAAATGTGTTATTACAAGAAAACTATTAAAACAATAGTGAACATTGAACTCTCCATAATTACAGTTTTTAACTAATTCTCATATGATCATCATATATAGATTATTTATCATCATTAATTCATTATATTGACGTATAAGTGAACTTTAATTCTAAAGTTTATTTATTTATGTATTGAATTAGTTCAATATGATGAATACTTAATTTTAAGGATATAAATAATCTAAATCATGATCAGACTGTTTGAATTTGTATTAAAGGGTCAAATTCACTTATCATAATCAATATCTCATAAGAATCATGAAAGAATATAAACAACCTATTTTCTTAGTTTTCCTGAAAAGTTTTTATATTTATTTTTCTTTCTAGATATTTTTCATGTCGCTGTAAGCACTGAAGTTTTTCTTGATTTCATTTTAAAGAAAAAAAAAATTTTTGTTTTCATCTATTTTCTATTTATGTACTATAGTACAGGACGTGTAGCCCAAATTAGAATTAAGGATGATAAAGATTCGGACAATATTCGTAGCTTTGCCAATGTGACATTGCAACTGACAACTGATAAATCCAATCCAAAACTTATTCTTCAAATTCCACCTGATAATAATGTATTGTAATTTTAAAATGAAATTTTATTTTCATAATTTTTCTTATAGATTGTTGAACAATATCGTTTAAAAGAGTGTTCTTATGTACCAGGATCATCAACTCCCGGTAGTGTGGAATGTATTCATCAGGATTCTACAAAAGAAACACTGATTATAATCGATACAGCAAAACAATGTAGTGAATTGTTAGAATACATGCGAAATTATTTTACAAGTAAATAAATTTTCTATTTAAAAAAAGAAACGAATTAAATTCGTCATATTGTTAGATCGTCCTTCTATCATTGACGAAGATATACATGAACCTATTCCTAATGAAGATGTGAATCGTTTAATTCGAGCATTGAATGATAATAATGGAGATGAAGCTGCTCGAATTGCTCGTCAGCTTGCTTCTAAAAAGATTCCAATTCGATTTGCTCTCGATATAATTAATGAACACGGAAATGCAACACCTAAGCAACCACCGAAACCTGTTGTAAAACCATTACTGTAAATATAAATAATAAAGTTTTTATTTTTTTGAGAGAACACAGACGTATTTGTAGAAGACTAGCGTTTATAATTCGATCCTATTAAATTTGTTTTGGATTGATATTTTGTCAAAAAGAGAAAATATTTTCCAAAATTTATTCAAATTTAAAACGAATAAAATTAAGAATAGGTTATTATTCTTAATCATCAATCTATTTGAACGTTCTTTTTTTTTTTCTTACAAATTATTTATTAGTCAATATTATATACTTATGGAATAAATACTTACAAAACTATTCATTTAAATGAGGATCTTTCTATTATAATAAATACTATAAAAATCTTTCAAGAGAATTATCCTGTAATGTAGTTCCGATTAGAAAAATTCTATATTATATAATACACGTAAAGTGAAGATTAAAAATTTAGAGACAAAGAATGTATAATTTTTTTTTCTTAACGACTATAGCGAAAATAAATCAGAAAAAAGTGTTGATTGTCTGAAACAATTTCCTATTAGAAGAAGTACTTGTTCAATTCTCATTAACTGTATGATAGAGAAAACAAAGCTGAATGAAATATGACATCCCTGAGCTTCTACGATCTATCTTCAGCTAACGGCAATCATTGTACGGTATGCCTAAAAGGCTATTTTCTGTTGTTTTTTTGAAAATTTGTATGAATTTTTTGCACTTTAGGTCTTTAAGAGAATGAATGTAGTTCGCTGAAAATAGACCGTAGACAGCTCAGAGGACATATTATATTTACAAATGCTTTTCTCTATCGGATGAGTTTGTTTGCAAAAAGTTTTCGATACAATCGAGAAAAGTGGTTTTAGTTTTCCAGAGATCTTTTATTCACACTTGTTAACGAGAATTAGACAAGTACCTCTTCTAATAAAAAATTGTTTCAGCTAATTAAATTTCTTTTTCGATTTGCTCTAACTATTATGTTCAACAAAAAAAAATTGAAAAAATACATTGTTTTTACTTTAATTATTAAATGTTTCATATACCATGTTCAAATGTTAACTTGATATTTATTACATAAACAATTATTTTTAAAAGAAATAAGATTTTCTATTAATTATCTTTCTTAAATTCAATCATATTCAATGAAAAATAACTATTTTTGATACAATATATTATGTTTAATATATATTTAGATTAAAATTAGTAATCGAAAGTTTTTTAATTGATCATTGTACTAATGACCAATTTGATGTGGCTATTCTTCCAGAAACAACTATAGCAGATCTTAAAAAAATAGTAAAAATGAACAACATATCATATTAAAAAATCTTTAACTAAGAAAGTCTTTTTTCTTATTTTGTTGTTTAGGTTGAACGTGATACACAAATCCGTCCTCAACAACAATATTGGTTTATTAATCGAGATCATCTTGCTGATAATTATAAATTTGGTGTTTCATCGCCAAGAATCAATGAAAATACAGTTCTTACTCTTTATATTGCTAAAACTCAGAACAATTGATGTTTTTTTTTTCTTTCGTACTTTTATTTTCTCTTGATATTTTTTCTTTTCCCAATCAGACATGATTAAACATGAGAAACACAAATCAATCATATTTTTAAACTTTTCTTTTTAAATAATATTGCTTATTGTATTTTATTTCTTTCGTTTAATATATTTGTGATATGAATATAATTATATTCTTTTATATATTAATAATAATGATTGGAGTTTCATCCACAATTCAAAAATGGCAAATGCAAATCATTCATTCTAGTCTACTTGATATTAAAAAATTTCATCCGAATGTAACAGCTATTGTTAATGCAGCTAATGTATATATGAGAGGAGGTAGGAAATAAACTAATAAATGTTTTATTTTGTTTTTTTTTTTTATTTTGTTTTATAAAACTAGGTGGAGGTCTTGATGGTGCAATTCATGCAGCAGCTGGTTCTCAGTTATTAGCTGAATTAAAACAATTAGTACCCCATAAAACTCAAACAGCACAAGTCATTATTACAAAAGGATATAAAACAGGATTTGATTATATTTTACATGTTGCTGGTCCAGTTTATTCTTCAACAAATCGTGATGAATCTCGACGATTGCTTGAAGCAACATATACAAATGTTATACGAGAAGCTGATCAATTAAAAACAATTACTGCACTTGGTTTAGCATCAATTAGTACCGGTATATATGGTTATCCATTAAATGATGCAGCACCAATAGCAATATCAAGTGTTGCTCGAGAATTATCACAAGCAGAAAATTTAAAAACAGTTATTTTTTCTATGTTTGAAAAACGTGAATTTGATGTGTTTACAAAAGCATATGAACAATGGAAAAAAAAAGATGAAAAAGATCTGTAAAAATTATAATTTTAGTTTTTCTCGATTTGAAAATGTAGAATCATAGGATTTGTTTGAATAATAAATTATAGAGATAGTTTTTGTTTAAATATCAATATGTAATAAATAATTCATTTCTTCTTGTATCAAAAAAAATAATTTAACTTTTTGGGAGAATTAAAATTTTAACTGTATTTAACTAATATATTCTATTTCTTTTGGCGAATTTGGAATTTTTTTTAAATATTATTCCTCTTTAAATACTTCACGGTCACTGAAAGATATATTACAAAAAAGACATCATTGTTTACTGAAATCACTCTATTAAAATATATAACTGATATAAATTTAATTTCTTCTCCGCTCTTCCGTCCAATGTTCAAATTGCTTGATAGACACTTGCATGTTTTTGGGTAGATGATTCAAACTTGATTCTAGCACTGTCTATGATAGAAATGGTCGTGTGTAGACTCTATGAAAAGAAAGAGAACTCTTTCAGTAATAAATTAATAAGAAAAAGTTCTTTCTTCTTAGCCTTGTTTTAGAATAAAGATAATAGAAAATTCAGCTCTTGATCTGGTATTTCCCTGGAGAAAATCATATTATATCACAGCATGTAGAGTGATGAGTTTTCCACAGATATTTTTCATCAAACTCACTGAAAAATATTCTTTTCAAGTATAATTTAAATGAACAGGATACAAAAAGCAAATTCGAGTGTATTGTGGTCTTTTTCTGACTTTCTGCTCTCTATGTCGAGCTGAAAAATGACTTGAACCTTCTCAATGACTAAAGCGAGTTTTATATTTGAAATAAACAGAAATTAACCTGGGGATGCACCAGTCCAGTCGGATTGGGTCACTCATTAAATATATGAGTGAAGAGCAAAGCCATTGTACTGTGCGAGAACAATAATTAATAAAAATAAATTAAATAATAAGACAAAATTAACTGCTGTATTTGATAGAGCAATGTCGAATGTGCATGAAAATAATATTATTGATACGGTTCTCTGTTTCGATGTTTGAATCAGCACCAGCATATCGTATATTTTAATGAAACCTATTAGATGCTAAGGTGATTAAGGATGATAGCGACCGATAACTAAGTGCATTTTTTCATTGCAAAACCTTGTTGAGTCAACATTAGATACCTTTTTTCGACGTAATAGAGGTACAAAAATGATGATTATGTAAAGCAGCTCTCACTATAGAGCTGATCCCTGTATGCTATTATCAAAAATCAATCAGTCTGAGTGTATAAAATTACTTCGAAAAATGTCGCTTCACACACTTTGTTAATAAAGCTGAATTTTCTTTCCAATGGAGAAAAATTTTCAATTGAGTTGTTGGTATATTATTCTAATGTATGAATTGAGAAAGAGATACAATTTTTATGACGAAAAGTTCAATTTACTACATTGAATAATAGCAATAAAAAATAATTTAAAACCTCGCTCTACAGATAGCATAGACATCATCTTAATATTGACTGAAGTTTTTGTATTTACGACTTTAATGAAAAAAACTTCCTTCTGAAAACTCTTGACAAGAGTTCTACAACAGAAACTGCAAAACTAATTTAACAAAAAAAAAACTTTTAATAACCGAAAAATGATTAATTGATTTGCTTTCGACAGGTGAAGTTAGAAACTACGTCTTTGACATCGCTGCTGTGATTGTTCAGAAACTAAAGCATATGGAAACTTGATTTTTCTCAGAAGTGAATGAACATATTTAGATCACTAAAGAAAAAAAGAAATATTGAAATTGACTGAATAGAATTTAACTTGTAGCTTTTTTTGAAATACAATGGTACAATAACTGTGCCGTACATTCATATGCATATACCTATATTGTTGATCATATGACATGCTATATTTAGTTTCGAATTGAGTATAAATCTGGACTTATTTCATGTATATTACCTATTTGAGAGCACGCTTGATTAAGTGCAATCATTCATGGTTATTTTAATGATCATGAAAACAAAAAACCCGGTGAGAAAAAACGAAAGAAAAACGTAATGCATGTTTTGAAATATCTAGAAGGTCCTTAATGAGTCTATATAAAAATAAGGTAAATAACAAGCGTATATATATGAGTCATATACGATAAAATAGATAAATTATGCATTATAATTTGACATAGAGTCATTGTTTAATTGGTAGGCCGAATAAAAAAACAAACATATTTGTTTAATATAAATCGTTAACATGAAGGTCAGCAATATTTATTTTTTCCAATATTTATTTTTATTCTAGTTTTAAAAATCCATCATATTTTGATGATGGGAAGAAAATTATGACAAAAAAAAAGAAGACATCTTTTTTCCAAATATCCTTGATTTTTCTTCTCGTATTTCATGTTATTTAAAGAATATCTCTAAAACTGATATATTATTATTGATACCAATACTTCAAATAACTAATATAACATTTTTTTTCAAATACAGAACAAAAACAAAAGATTTCTGTTTGTTTCATTATATTAAATAGAGTTTTGAACTACAAGAAATGAATGGTAATTCACCAATTATTGATATTACTAATAATGACGGTGAAGTAAATCAAAGTTATGTACCAAATCCAACTGATAATCCATTACAAACTATTCATAAAGAAGAAAAACAAGACACACAACATTTTCCACGAACATCAGCAGCGTCGACTACATCAATGCATGTTATTTATGAAGTAAAACCCGATGAAAATACAAATGGAATTACATTTGTATCATCTCCATCAGCTTCTTCATCAAGTAATAGTCATCAGCAACAGCGTCAATCAATTGGTACAGAACCATATGAACGACAATTATCTATACTTGATCCAACGTCAGATCGTGTTAGCACAATTCTTGTTTGGCAAAATTTAATTGTTTCGGCAAGAGAAGCTAAGAAATTGCAATTTATTCGACGTTCAATATCAAAAAATTTTCAACCAAAAACTAAACGTTTATTACATAATGTAAGCGGAGCTATTACTGGTGGATTATGGGCTGTAATGGGTAAGCTTTTTTCTTTTGTTTTTTTTATTATTTTATACACATCAGAAGTGAACACTGAATATAAGTGTAATTTTCCATCGCACAAAAAAAAATCTGTCAAATTATCAGCTATCTTAGACTCTAGTTATCGTCCTAGAGGTTTTTCTTGTGATATTTATATAAATAGCTAATATCGAATCATGCAGAAATAAACATGAATATTTGTTTTTAGTTTTGTTCATGAATTAGTTTCAATCAGTCAATTTCGAAATTTAAACATAAACTGACTTCATAAATATTTTTATCTTCAATTATTATTGTTCACTTCGATTTTTGTTTTCAATCTCAATCAATGTTATCTAATGTAAACAAATTCTTGGTTGAGTTGACTCATTTACTTTCATCTAAAGTAGATGGCATCATAGAATTAGTTTTATGCATTTGTTTATTGTTTCCAGTGGTCATCTTTAATGTATACATAAAATAAATAAATTTTCATATAGGTCCATCGGGTTCTGGTAAATCAACACTCTTAAATACATTAGCTTGTCGTTTGGATGTTAATACAATTGTTCAAGGCGAAATGCGTTTAAATGGTGCACCATATGATAATGCAGAATTAAAACGTATAGCTGGTTATGTTATGCAAGATGATTTATTAAATGGATATTTAACTGTTGAAGAAACTTTAATGTTTACAGCTGAATTACGTTTACCACGAACATTATCTGATTGCGAACGAAAAGTACGTGTTGATGAAGTTCTTGATGATTTAGGTTTAAAACATGCACGAAATGATATTATTGGTGTTCAATCAAAACGAGGTATATCAGGTAGTGAACGTAAACGGTTATGCGTTGCTATGCAATTACTTAATCGTCCACAATTATTATTTCTTGATGAACCAACAACTGGTTTAGATTCAGTTACAGCACTTGATTTATTATATACACTTCATGCACTTGCACGTGGTAAATCAGAACAAAAAGGTGTAACAATTGTTTGTTCAATACATCAACCACAAGCAAAAATATTTAATTTATTTGATGCAATTGTTTTACTTAAAGCAGGTCATATCATTTATCAAGGTTCAAGAAAACAATCAACAGTAAGAAAAAATTTTACTAGAAATTTATCTTATGAATTAATATAATTTTCATATATTCTAGGAAGTATTTCGTGCAGCTGGTTTTCCTTGTCCATTATTTACAAATCCAGCTGATCATCTTTTAGATGTTATAACACCACCAAAAACTGATCAAACAAATCTTGATGAACCTCCATTAACAGTTGAACAACAAGCAGCTGTTGACGAAGCACTTATAAAAGCACAGCCATTACTTGATATTGATCTTAATATGGGTGTTGATAAACGTGTTGCTCAAATGGCTAATCTACCACGTAATCCAACATGGCATAAACAAGTACGAATACTTGTACGTCGTAATTTGCGAGAACAATTTCGAAAAAAACATCTTCTTATTACTTCAAATATACAAACAGTTATCATGGCTATTTTAATCGGTACTGTTTTTTTAAGAATTGGTCATACACAAAAAAGTATTGTACGTCGTGAACCAGTTCTATTCTTTTGTGCTATCAATCAAGGTGTTTTTGGTGCATTAACAGTTATTAATTCATTTCCTGTTGAACGAACATTAACATTACGTGAACGAGCATCTGGTACATATTTTGCTAGTGCTTATTTTATAGCAAAAATTCTGTCCGATACACTTGTTCAATTACCAGTACCGATTTTGTTTGTACGTACATTATTAAAATAAGTCCTCTAGAATAAATGAGACAAATCATTTTCTTAGTTAGAATTGTTAGTATAGGATTAAATATTTCGTTCTAAATTCCAAAGATAGAAATGTTGATGAGGTTTTTTTATCCTTTATCAATAATCTCGAAATACTTTCGTAGTGTATATTTATCTATTATCATTCAATAGTATTTTTTTTTCTCTATTCTACCAATGCGGAATATATAACAGTATATGCAAGGGGAAAAAAAGTAACAATTCCTTACTTCATCATATGTCAAGGATATGTCAAAGTTATCCTTTAGAATTTCTTAGTTATTTCATGTCCGATAATTGATCGATAAGAAAAATAACCGAGAAACTTATTATAAAAGAACTAAAGCTTTTAACGATATGAAAACAAAGAATTTCAGTTCATAAGTTATCTGTAGTCTTTCTAATTTTTGGATAGATACGGATACGTGTGTTCGAATGTTCTTGCAGTTTCATTCACCAACATCCGCACTTACATTCACCTGTCTTTTCTTTTCTATTCCCATGTCGCTCATTTTTTATGAATCTCGCCGGGATCCCGCGGGATTAACTTTTCTGTGCGGGAAGCCGCGGGATCTCGCCTATCTCGCAAAAAGTGACGGGATCCCGGCAAAATCATTTTATCCCAAATGATTTCTTGTTCATTTAGTGAAGTGCATTCTACGGTNAACATGACAGAACGTTCTTTTTTCTCCTAAAGATGCTCTATTGCATGCTCTAGTCGGATTATAAGATTCAATCTTTAGAGCTATTTTCGAAATTTTAATAGCTTTTTAATACTGAACACGTGTATTATCATGTTATTTCCTACAAGGAGAAATAAAAGAAGGTTGAAAGTTTGAATTTTGTACATTAATTTTAGCTATACAGTTTCAAATCATTGTAAAGATCTAGTCTGACCTTTAAAGCATCCTAATTATTACTCATTCTCAAGTCAAATGATTCGGATGCATCGTTCTGAACAAAAACGCTTTTTTTTATTGGTACCCCGCAGGAAAGATTGCTGGAGTGATAAAAGTTTTAGTTTTTACAATATCTGCGACAGTATATTTTATCGGATATTGATTTAATTAAAAATGACTTTAGTTGTCAACCATAAAATGAACTTTGTCAATGTTTTCCTTGTGAAAAGTAACATGATGACACATTCATTCAGTGTTAGTAGTAGAACCCTGCGGGAAAAGGAAGTCTGAACACTTTTAAAAATTGATGTGACTCAGTCAAAAACTGTCGTGCAGAGTTTGAAAATGTGTCATTTTGTAGAGAGTTAGTTGTTCTCCAGTCTTATTCAATCATAAAAAGCTTTTATTTTTGGGTTTTCCAGAGTGTTTGGAAACACTATTAACAGTTCATTTCCTTCATATATTTGTTAGGAACTGTCGTTGCTAATCATGTCACTATTTTCATTCTTTTGCAAGTTATCATTACGGAAAAACAACGAAATTAAATCTGAAAAAGCAATTTTTGAAGCCATTGTTAGAGACTTGCAGGTTCACAGTATTTTAATTTTGATTCAGAAATTTTTTTCCCATTAATTAGCGACAGCTTATATGTATAGCGAGACTATGCAGTTTAAGATTGCTTGAAGATCACAAAAATACATTTAATGATGTAAGTGGATATATTGATCGATGCTGATGTTTTTCACAATAATCACTTATGACAATTAATCTATTATTTACTAGAGGTTATAATTGTCAAAAATGAATGCTACATAAGAAAAGAATGAAATTGAATTTCTCGAGTCCCATACAGAGCTCTAGTTAGTACTCTATTAAAATTTCAAAAAAAGCTGTAAAGATTGGATTTTCTGATTCGAGTGGAATATTCAATGACCTATCTTTTGAAAGCAAAGATCAAAGTTTATTCATGTTTCTGAATGAAGTTACAGACAAAAGAAAGAATGACGAAAAACTTTTGCTACATTTGATAAAGTCCATTTTATATTTGTTAATAGACAAAATGATTTGCTTGATCAAGGTAATGAAAATCACGGTATTTATTTTAAAGTAATAGACGATCCTGGCGAGCAAGATTTTGTATTACCTGAATTCTCATATGATGGCTATCCTCAATTATCATTACCATCTAAAAGGGTAAGATAATCCAAGTAAAATTTAACTATATCGTTTTAACCATAATAAATGACATACCATATTTAGTCTATTTATTCGTCAGACTATCATCGTTTAATCTCATATTTATATTAGAGATTTATCTTTTATTATTTACTCTACTCGACGATTGGTAGCTTTTAAAGAGCAAAGATTTGTGTTAAGAAAATTGCAAGTTTGTTTTATATACTAATACGCAATTGAAACTGAAATTTATTATTATGGTTATCTTGCTAACATTAATTAGTTTTACTTGAAATTTTGTATTTTAGTTTGATATCTTATAATTATCAGTTGCAGATGAAACCATGCATAGCTTGCGAGAGAAATCCTTCAAGTAATAAATCGTTTTTAAGTCGAGACTATGTTCATCGTGAAGATCCAAATGAGCCATGAATATCCTGAAAAGAGTTCAGGAACTTAGTTTATTATTGTGAAGATACTGGACTATTATCCGGAGACTTTCTTTGTCAGTTATATAGCTTGAAGAATTCCGATTTGTATTCGTTTATTCTTATAATAATTATTGTTTGCAATGAGAACTGCAGAGTAACTAAAATACATCCGTTGTATTCTAATGGGTTCTATTGTTTTGTGTGTGATACAAAGATCAAAATAGAAATGTTTTCATTAGCTGCTCAAGATATCAAATAAATTCGCAATTTTCTCAACAAATCCTTGTTATTTTTCATAACTTTCAATTATATTGTAAACTAAATGATAAAGTACTTATTGAAAGTAAAAATATGACATCGAACGATGGTAATCTGAAGAATAAATAGCTTAACTTTACTTATGGTATTTATTGTGATCAGGACAATATCTTTTATGAAAATTATTTTAGCCAAAACTTCCATTATGGAAACATGATTTTTTCTTTTCTCATGGTGATGAAAAAGATAATATGTTTACAAATCCCAATAGTGCACTTGTGTTTGAATTTTATCCATCGCAAAATATTGCTAATAGTACACATTGGCGTATAGCAGGTTTACTTGGATGGACAGCTATTCTATTAGATACACGATTATTAAACGCACTTTCATCATCAAGTGCAAGAGAAGGCATGAGAACTGAAGGTACTATTTCATTGTTTTCATTTTTTTTTATTAATTTAAATTTTAAACAATTAAAGGTCTTCTGATCAATAGTGAAGGCGATTTAACACCCGAAAGTGCGAAACATTTAACAGCTGAAGTTGTTCTTCGTCTTGTTACTGAAAGACATCCAACAAAAAATCTTCTTTCACCATCAAGTAATAATTTACCTGTATTACCTTCGTACTATAATCAAGGTATTCAACAAAATGATACTGAGCCTGTTTATGTGCAAGTATCTGTGCCACAGAAAAACTTTTTACCAGCAATAAAATCACCAACAGTGCCACTGCCTGTTGCTCGTTCACCTATACAAGTAAGAAAAACTTTATGTATAAATAGTTATTAATCGAAGTATGTCAACTTCATAGGAAAGAATCGGTGCACTTATTTACTTTGAATTTTAAATAACATCTATGAAAAAATATTTTTTTGATGTAATTTAAAATTCCTTCGTAGAAAAGAATTTGTTGCAGATAGGTAAAGATACAGAAGAAAAGACATCGATTTTTTACATTTTACTTCAAACATCTCTATAACAAATGTTATGTTTGTCTGAACTTAAAATTTTTCAATACTACAAATCATTTCAAAGAAGTCGTATTGTATTCAATTAGGTATGTACTGAATCCGAACAATTAAGTTATGGGTTCGATTTCAGATTCAGTTAGATATGAAAAAAGTAGTTTGACATCAATAGACGTATCTTTATTCTTATGAATATTTCCTTATTTCTTTCTATTGTTTCTCACTGTCTATTATAAAACATTCAGTTAAAGGCCAAAGTCTTTTGTCTCATATTTGTCAAGTGAAGTTTTTTGCGATTATGTTCCCTATTAAATGTATTAGTTTTACAGTTGTAAAAAGATTGATTTCAGTCGTCATTAGAACTGTTGCGATTATAACGTTAATAAGAGCAGACGTTTATTGGATATGTTGACGATTTCATGTAAAACGAGCCAACTTTCATTTGACTTTGATTTTTTTACATGAGTTATTTTTTTTAACAAGTTCCTTTAACATACACATATGTAATAAAGTAATTGAATTCGGTGATTGGATTCATTCATTTCCTGCCGTAACTGAACAGAGTCGACAGTCGGAATCATTGACCTAGAATACAACAAAAGTCGATGTCCTTTTTTGTCTCATGTCATTAACGCTAAGTTTTTATTGATAACTCTTCTAAAAAAAATTAGCTCTATGAAATTTCATTCTTACGAGATTCGGTCTTCTAATTTTGCAAAGTGATGTCGCTAACGAATGATTTGGCCTATATGCTAAATAAAACTTCAAAACAGCAGGTTATCAAACTATTAAAAAAACCTTATGTCACTCTTTCGAACTGTTCCGGAACTGTTCATGTCCATTTTTGCATTGAGACTTTTGGAACAAGCGGCATAAGTGTATTTGATAGCAATTCAAAATTGCAAGCAATCACCTACACATAGAAGACAAACAAACAAACAAACAAACACTTCAAGTTACTAAAGCATTGACTGTTCTCTTTTTTCTTAGCATAAAATGAAAACGGAATATTTTTCTTCTATTAAAAATCATTTCTCTTGTTTATGACATTTTTTTCTATCGATTACTGTTAAGTCATAGAATCATATAAAACGTATGTTTTACTATCATCCGAACCAAAAGCGAATGGTTCTAGCACCAAAACCAGCATATATATCAAATAGTTCACTCACTTATTCTCTTGTCTGCATTTTAAATATGACAAAACAAGTTTATTTCGAATTCATTTTTTTTTTCTTAAGGCACCTCAACCAACATTTCTTCCAGCACAGTTGTATCAACCACCTCATTATGACGTATGATAATTTTCTTTTTTTTTTAATAATTATACATTTTTGTTTTTTTAAAGTTTATACAAAGTGCTCCACAAGCACCAGCACCAGCATCAGATGTTAGTTCATATAGTTTGTTTTTGTCTTGTATTTATCTATTTATTCTTCGTTATTAATAATATAGAATACTCGTTATCGCATTCCACGTATTAATCCATATGATTTGGATGATATTCCAACAGAATATCGAGCTATGTTGGCAACAAATTATCCTCCACGTCGTGATGATGATATTAATGGTTGGTTTGATTATTTTGAACGTGAAGTTGCACTTTATAAACAAGCTATTCGACGTATTATACAAGATGTTGCACAATTACGTGAACAGCATAAAACATTAACAGCAGCAAATACTGATTTACGAACAAAAATAGAAAATTTTGAAAAGAAAAAAAAAGTTTTATATGAAATTTTTGAAGGTGATAAAATTGATAAAGCTAAAATTCAAGATATACTCAGTAAGAAACAAAAAACAAAATCTTCTTATTTATCATTAGTTTTAAAATCAAATATTTTTTTTATTTCTTAGATCGTTTAAATGCTAAAATATCTGCTCAATCACTTGAATTAAAAGAAAATTATGCAAAAATAATTGCTTATGAAAAAGAATTAGCTCGAGTATATATATATATTCATCATAGAAATGAATAATCAGAAGAAAATTTTTCTTTTGTAGAGAGGTGAATTACGTGCTCAATATGATGCATTAGTTCGTTCAAGTCAAGCACGTGAAGTTGAAATTAAATTATTACAACAACGAATCAATAAAGCTGATGGACTAGAAGAAACAGTTCGACGTCAAGAAATGGTTATTGAAAGACTTGAATCAATGATTAATAATTATATGAAACAAAAACGAGTAGGAGGTTGAAACTCTTTTTTCTTTTTGAGATCGATTGTTGTTGAAAAGCAAAAGATTATTGGTTTTCGTAGGAGCATTTAGTGATATTGATAGAAATTTTTTATCTGAACATGCTGCACTTGGTTTAGAAGCTCAACAACTTCAAGTGCGTTTTTTGCTTAAATTTTTATTGATCATAGATTGAATATTTAGGAGAGACGAGCATCTGCCTTACGTCATACCGCAATGGTAAATAGTCATCGAGATGATCTTCTTCAACAAAATATAGGTTATCAACAAGAATTAGCTACGCTTAAAGCTCGAGTAAGATTCATCAAAGTTTTGTTTTTTATTGTTTATTAAATAATCATATTTGATATTTAAGTTACAAGAAAATTCAGCTGCATGGGGAAAAGAAAAAGCTGAATTGCTTGAAAAAATTAACTATATGGAACCATCGGTAAGATTTTTAGTTTTTTTTTTAATCAATTAGAAAGTTTTCTTGTTTTCTTTTTCTAGTCACCTACACCACGAACACGAATACGAAAAACAAAATTTTCTTAAATGTTTATTCATATATTTAAGAATAAAAATTAAATAAACATTTTTTTCTCATAATTGAGAAGCATTAAATATGATCTATGGTCAATACAACTTGCTGAAATTAGGCACTGATCATTTATATAATTGTTGATTTTATATTACGTGTTATTGACTATAAAAAAATGTTTTCAAATGAGTTATAACAAGGTCTTAAAATAAAATGAAATGTGTTCATGGGATTATATTGTTTTGCTCTGACTAACTTTTCGGTCAATGTCTTCGATGGATTCCCTCCGAAAAGACGCCGTTTTCTGTCAGAAAACGCCGTAAAATAGTAAGAACTAGGAAGCAGAAATCCGACGGTAGTATTTTTGTAGCTTCTATCGAAATCGAACATAGCCGGCGGTGTTGGTGTGTGGATGTGAATGTGATTGCTGGTAATTTAAATCCGCATCCACACATTATACAAAGATCTTTAAATAGTATATATATATATATTTCTTTCTTTTTATCATTGCTTTTATTTCTTTAAACTCGACTGAAGTATATACAAACAGAAGATCAAGAAGAACTAAATCTGAGTTAAGATACCTAATCAAGCTGTCATATCAATAACCATAAAAATTGTATGGTGCGTATATGTGTTTAACGGTATCATTGAAGTAGTATGAAAAAAAACAATTTTTTTTTCTTTTTTTCAAATCCCAAAAAAAGAATTTAGATATAAATTTCATATACAAATTAAAATCGTAATTCATTTGATGATAATTTGTTCTGTGATGCTGAAAGATACAGCAGAAATACAACTGCGTAATAAACTTATTTAGCTGTTATATGTGCTATATCATAACGTAAATAAGTATACTGAATTTTTGCTTCATTATGATGCCGACATTACTCACCTAATATTTTGTCTTCAATTGTCACATATCTTTATTTCGGCGATTTTGATAACGATTGTCGATAGTTACATTCTAGATCTTCTGCTGTTTATACTTCTAATGCTATATCGCCAGTACTATGCTGATTATCTTGTATAATCTTATCAACAACGTCTTCATCATTAAATGCTACAAATGCATAACCAAAATGTATTATCACCTTCATATTTTACTATAGTACATGATAAAACTGTACTATATTTATTAAGATAATTTGATAAATGATTACTTTTTAATGGTTATACTGTATCACGAAGAAAAACAAATGTTTAACAGATTTTTGTAATTCCCATGATGGTAAACAACGTTGACATGGTGTTTCATTTATTCATAAATATATCAGCACTAATACGATCATCTAATTCAATAAGCTCTTTATCATAGATTTCTGTTAAACAATAACCGAGAAGTTAACCACAACGTGTTGCATATTGTTGCCATTGTTCTGTTGTTGTACATTTAGATAGATTAAGTATTAATGTGGTGCGAAGCAAAGTATTTATGTAGATCTGGATGACTTTCTCGTCGTATACATCGAAAATTGACATGTTGGTAACATGATGATCTTCAGAACGGAAACTGAGCAAAATATTTGTTTAAACGTCAGGTGAAAATGTAGAAACCGAACCGATACCATTTTTTTCAATCTTTCAGAGGACGTTTCATTGGGTTACAAGTAATGGCTAAAACTAACAAATTTTTGACGACATAGTTTCTTTCTCAAGCTTCAAGATAATGATAAAAACAATGACGGAAACAAAATTTAGTCACCACTCTCTTGGCTTATAGTTAAGACAGCTGTAAATATAACTGATGCTAGATAATCAACTAGAAAGAGAGTCAAGCGACCAATCAATAGTATTTCTGAGAAGCGTATTGATAACTGTTAATCCAGTTGTTTTAGCAATGAATTTCAGGATGACTACTTTACAAATTCTTTCAGATTTCGATCAGCTAATTGATCAAAGCGTAAGTTTTATGATTTACAACGAGAGCAAAAAGTCTAATTCCAATAAAACGTTAATATCGTTAGAAAAAAAAGCGATTCATGATAAAGCACCATAATAATTGTTCGTTTTTTTTTAATGAGATATAGATTTTTTCGATAATCGACATGTGTAGCTTTGCACTGAATTACAAACATATCATCAATGTCTGTTTAAAAGAAAAGGTGAGTAGAGAGTTTTCTAATAAATTTTGATAAAACAAGACAGAGGAAAGCTGCAGTTTTCGCTTTTAGAAAAAGATTATGAAAATGCATCGAATTATATATTAGAAATTTTTCAATCTGTTCTTTTTTAAGGTTTTAAATCGACCTTCTTGAAAAGCAACTTACCATTCCAATGATTATAGTGAATTTTCAATTATCAAGTGTGCATCCGAACCGTCAATAAAAGACCTAAAAGGCTATACAAGCCTCAGATTCTTAGATTTAGTTATTCGGGAATCATACGTATTCAGTCAAAATTGATTATTGATCGATTTTTTCAAGCAATTGTGGTGAGAAAAAAAATCATATTTTTGCTTTTTTCCTTATGTTTAAAGGAACCATTTTCCGATATTTTTTTAAAATAAATTTGATTGAAAACACTTCACAAAACACCTTAGAAGAACTGATAATATATGTATTCGATGTGACTTCATCATGTCTTTTCAACGGTGAAAAGCGCAGCACTCTATCTTGTTACTATCAAAAGTTATGCAAAAAAATATGTTTCTATTTTGTTGAGAATCTGATGATTCGTTTCTTTCTAGAAAATAAAAGTCAAACTATATTCATAAAATTAATAAGATACTCTTAAAGGAGACCGATGCTTAATTCTCAATAAGCTTTAATCGAATTTCTATACAGTATTGGAAGTGATTATCTATCTTTTTGTATACTTCTTTTCTTCTGATTCAGTCAAGTTACTGAATAAAATTTTTTTCATATATAATGTTTCGAGAATATTACTTCTCATGTGATGAAAATAGCATTACTTTTGCTGATTTTTCAAACAATGCAAATAAATCGTCGATTAATCGTGATATTTCAAGAACAATGACACAGTAAGTAGTAGTTTACAAAATGAATGAAGTTATTTCTTTTTTATTTAGATAAATAGTAATGACAAAATCATCGTTATGAGAAACTCAAATGAATACGACAATAAACGACGTCGTATATAGAATTCTGTTATAGTGGTTATTTTCATTATAGATTTGATAAAAAAGTATCCAGAAAATCTCTAATATTGCTTATTCAATAATAAATTTATCATTATGAATTTGAAAAATTCATAAAGCTAATTTTTTAGGATGGAAAAGGTGACATAGTTAATTATCAAACTACAAGTATTATAATGACATCAAACATTGATGCACAATGTATCTTTTTAGAAAATATTTTCAGTGAAAATATTAAAATCATTTGAATAATATTATATTTATAATTCCAACTTCTTACTATCAATCAACTTTCTTCTATTATTCATCTTCAATTAAAATCAATTGCAGACCATTTGAAAGAAAAACATATATTAAAATTATTTTAACAAATAAAGGTATGCATTCAACTATTAATAAATCTTATAATCCTAGTATTAATGATTTATTTCATAAGAAATCAAAGACTTGATTCGAAATACCTATGACCTGAATACATTTACCTTTCATACGAAAAAATAATTTACTTTAGCTACATTCAAGGTGTGGACGTTTGCTTCACACAAACACGCACACCCTCAATCTGTGAAAGGAGATCAGTAATAAAACCTTTTATGTTTAATAATTGAACAATGTATTTTTAAAATAAATACATTTTCATTTCGATTTTAAATTTCATATGTGAATTTATAAACAAAGAGAAGAAATTGTTTTCATTTGTATGTCTTGTCAGTTAGATACTACAATGAAAGACTATAGCAATCATGTTTTCAAATAAATGTATATTTATAAAAATTGTCACAAAATCAACATTCAAAATTCTTTAATATAAAAGAGTAGATATGAATTAAACGTGAAATTGGACCCGTTGCTTCGCCAATTGTTGGTTCAATCCGATTAAAATTTTCAAACTAACTAGTTTTATCAGTTTTTTATTGTCTGTTCAAGTTTTAGAACACGAAAGCCATAGCCTCTAGATAGCTTATTAGAAAAGAAATTTTGAACAACACAATGATTCGATTCGGATAGAACAAGTGGCAAATAATAATAATAAAAATATTCGAGAAATTTTGCATTGAAAATGTTTCATGATGCAACACAATTTGTTTATTTTCTACGGACAACCAAAAATAACAACAAAAATACATTATTCAAGTGATCTTGGTATTGATCGAGTACAATTGAGAAATAAATGACGATTGCCACATTTTACAGATGTTAATCGTCACCATGTCCAGTTTATCATGAACTAGATAAATCTCTTTTTTAAAGTTTTTTTCATTTTGCGTACACGTGACTAAATGAACAAATAAAGACTTTCATGTTGAAATTCTATCGAAATATTCGATAAAAAACGATTTCATTTCTACTTGATAGAAAATTAAAACGAGACGTTGATTAAGTGAAACATAAGTCAATCTCATGAGAATCTCAAGAAAATTGTTGTTTACATAAAGAATTACGTCGCTAAAGAATATTCGAGATTCTTTTATCAGAAAACTTTTCTCGTTTATGTTGTTCTCTTTCATTCGGATATATAGAAATGTCTTTGTCATACGACATGGCTTCAACAAAGGAAACAAACACTTTGAGTTTCAATATTTATGTAAAAATAATTACATCAAAAACAAATTTCTCATTGCACCGTAATCGACTCTTATCTCATGCTGAACTAATAGAAGACTACTCGAGAGAAAATTATTTTGCTTGCTTTTCTCGTGTACGTAAAAGTCTATTACAGTATGCAAGGAAGAGAGAACAAGTCTGATTTGGTTATTGAGTTTTACAACTTACAGAATTTTACTGATGAAATTTTAAAAAATTCGCAGCATGTTTTATCTAATGAATTATAATGGTAGTAATGACTTACTTTGCTTGAAGTCATAATAGTCGAAGACTTCTTGTTCGAAGATGTATGTTTCTTTGTCTTGTGCTTTTTCAACGACGTCTCAAATTGTTCGAGTAAATCGGGACAATCCAAATTCTGCTCGTTCTCCCACTAAATGAAAAAACAACAACATAAAGTATTTGTTTCACTGCAAATGCTAAACAAAAACAATTTCACTTCACTCTCTAGCTAGATGAGGCCTTTAAAAAGCTCGTGAATGAAACCTGAAAACGCTCACTGCCTAGGATGTTTTTTGAATTTATGTGTTTGTGTCAGTTTTTTTCAAAACTTTTTCAAGTTTTATTATGATTGAAATCAGATATATTTATATTTCACTGGAAAAATCATTTCGAACAGATCGAAGTGCTTAGAAAACGGTAAAAACTAAGTGCCCTGGTCGAATCACCCACTATTAGATCTACAGTTCTAACAATTAAATTAAAAAGCAATCCTAAGTTGCATCCGCATATAATATATACGTATATATTTAAAACTATCATCTAAGCTATGTTCCAAAGTTTACGATACTCAATTCATATCGTTATTTAAAAGTTATATTGTTGAAAAGTATGTTAAAATAATTTTGTCGAATAAATGTTTTGTGTATTTCACTATATTTTTTTAATCTTAATTATGTAGAAATTGACATTCAAATCTAGCTTAGATTACGACTTCATAAAAATAGAATGCCAGAAATTATTTGTATTAGTATTTTTCTCATCCTTTTAATAAAAAAAAAACAAGAGTAGAAAATAAATTTCATAAATATATTTTAACATTTTGTTTTGATAAATGACTTTCTTAATAATGATATAATGTGAGTATCGTAAACTTTGAATAATAACTTAAATGCTACTTTTAAATAAATACTTTTCAATTTTTGTATATTCGAAAAATAGGACACAAACATCAGAACAAACCAATCAGCTTATGAAATAACTTCTATAAATATAAATTGCTTTCACAACAAATGTAGTAGTCTAAATGAGATTCCTATAGTTACAATAATTTTTATCGTATATATATTTACATGTATCATTAGAGAGATTAGTCAGTCATATTATTTCATAGAGCGGAATTGCTCGAAAGTTAATCTTGTATGAATTTTGAGTAATTTGAAACTTGCTACTCTCTTGTAACAGTGATTTATTAGTTTTATTTTTATTAATAGAAATTTATGTCAAATGTAACATAATGTAATACAAATTGTGTATGCTTACGCGAATTTTATTTTCGTTAAAATTTGAAAATACTTTAGATGGCTGTTTCATCGGCAACGATTTCTAAGAAACAATGCTCGAGTCTTCAATGTTCTTTTCCTCTCGTTCGTCTATTTTCTATCAAATTTGGAATCTTTCTTTGATTCAAATGTTGAAATAAGAAACAAAGAAAAAAATTGAACTTACCGTGTTTTGATCGTCATCAAAACCTTTCCATTTCAGAAGATATTCAACACCACCATTTCGAATTCGTCGATCAAGAATTTTTTCTACTACAAACATCTCTTCCCATAGATGTACATGACGATTTGAGGTGTTCAATCGATGCTTGAACATTGCTTGATACTTCTTACTGATATCAAATCCAAGAAAAGACCTTCGAAGATTGGCAGCAGCTAGAAGTGTTGTACCGGATCCGGCAAATGGATCCAAGACAAGATCACCTAAAAATGAATCATCAATTAATTTAGAAGATAATAATCAATTACAGTATGTCTTCATTTATTGTGCACAGTTCAAGTTTTAATATATAAGAAAAGAAAACAAATTGTTTTATAATACTTTGAACTGATTCACATTTTTCTATTCAGAGAAGTCGAGCACTAGCTAGAGGAATTACGAAAGAACTCTCAGTTGGAGAAGTAATTTCTCGAAATTGGAAGGATTATTCGATTCATGAGGTAGGAGTTCTTTGATTTGTGAGAAAGATATTAGTGAGCAGAGTTAATCGATTAACTAATTATTTGTTCTGATGAACTAGCTTGTATATCGATGAGTTACCAAAAAAAAAGACCTTTCAAGGTCTTGTTTCTATGAAACTGACTATTGGAATCTCAAAAAATAAATTGTGAATAAGATATTTATGTAATAATATTATTTAAACCTCGTTTCACATTACAGTTTAGAAAGGATGACAACCGAACATAAAAAGACTCGATCGAAATTTCGTAATTGCATTAGAAACGACGAGAAATGAAGAGCATCTTTTTGTGGTCATAAAAAACAAAAAATATATTCAGCAAGCATAATGAAAACGGACGACTATATACGGACGTTTCGTTCGAATTCAAGACCAGGGAAAAATTAAGTCGGAACTAATTCAGGGATCTGGCTTCCAAAACTAGCTGGGAATTATACCGAATTCAACTGTTTCTTGCCGTACATCTTTGACATGGGTTTAGTTAGATAAATGCGATTGATATTCCCAATTACGTCTGTTTGAAGTTCCATTGAGTCTCAAATTGATAGGATCAGAAAATTAAAGCAATTTTGATCAACACGCTGAATATTCTCTATAATGGGAAATGTCATTTGACCCAATCCGACGCTAGTTAAATTTCGGATTTAGTCGTTGGATTATGCCGAATATGTTAACTTCAGAACAACGTATCATTTTCTAACTGCAAATATGATTGAGATAAATAAGTCCATTTGTCTATTTTCTCTACCACTTCAAGTTAAGTTTTGAACTTTTCTCACATTTACCTTCATCAGTTGTTGCTAAAATGCAAATTTCGGCGAGAAGTGCTGGAAATGGTGCTGGATGATTATTTCGTCTATCGGGCGGTATACGCCAAATTGAACTTTTAAAACATTCTGGCAACCGATCACGATTAAACTTAGGTGCTATTGAAGTGTCAGACAACGATTTCGTTAACCAGAAAATTTTTTCGAGATTTGGCCGAAAATAGGCGGAGTTTTGATTTGCGGTGCACCCTCTGTCCCATACGATTGTTTGATATAGGTTTAAATTACTTCGCAAAATAAATTCTTCTGGAGGATGATCACGTTTGCAATAACGACGATCTTTATGATTGTAGAAAAGAGAACCATCAGGTGTAAGAACACGATTGATCTCATTCAAAAGATCGCATTGCCATTGTTTATATTCATCTTCGTTCATGTCATCATCATATGTATCGTAAATAATTTGTCCACGATACGGTCGACCTTGTTGAAGGCCAAGTTTATTATACGGCGGTGAGGTCATAATACAATGGATGGAGTTACTCGGCAACATTTTTAAACCTTTCAAACAGTCAATGATCACATATTTGTTTATCATGGACTAAATGTTAAACAAAAAAAAATGAGAATGCGTTCGGCTATAACAAAAATGTTTATTTTCTCTAACTAAAGAACAGTCTTGAATATCTATTGACTAACAGTGATGGAATCGGCTCGGTTGGAGAAATATAAGAAGCAGTTTTATAAATTCTATCAATCTATTAAATAGAAATATGTCTGAAAATATTTTTGAAAGTTGACTTTGCATTGATTTGATATAGAATGTGTTGCTTCACAAATATGTTTACTGTGCTTCTTAAGCAAAACTCTCTAGGTTGCATAAAATTTGGAGAGCTTACATTGTCTCAACTGTAGCGAGGTAAAATGATAAAGGAAGTGGCGATTTCTTAAATTAATGGTGTTGAAATATGAATTGGTTAACTTAAGAATTGTGAAACCATAGAAAATTTTATTTATCTCAAACTTGTTTGTCGACTGTCTCTTGGTACGAATAATCAAGCAGTTTCTATTTTCGATACCATGACAGTAGATCATTCAGAGATAACATATAACTGGAAAAGATAATCTTTCATACTGCATTCAAATAGATTCAGAGATTTTAAAATACTATATCTATTTCTACAAAATCATAAGAAGAAAAGCATTAGAATTTCAATCAAAATAGAGTAAAGAATTCTCTCTATTTATGTAAAATAATCTATGTATAGCATCGCACCTGGTGAACACTAACCTACATAAATCAATAAAAATCTGTAAAAAAATACGAAATCTTAATTAAGCGATTGAGGAACTAATAATTGTTGCAAATTACATAAACAGTTCTGTATATTGTCTGTTTTGTTATGTCCTGCATCTGTTTGGATGTAGTTATGTGATTTTTTTCCTGCCATGATTCGCTTCTCTTGTTCTCGTTCTCTTTATGATTAGATCTATGTACTGAACTTTTCCCTTCTCTCTGCTCTTCTTTGCTGTCAAGATTCTCTATACATTTTCCACTTCTTTCCATAATATATATAGTTATTTAGTCATTGCAGAAATTAATATATAGAGATCTATATAGAAATAACTTACAAGTGGGACATAGATCTCACAATCTCAAATCAAATTTTGATATCGTTTTTCACTATCTCAAAATTTATGCTTAATATCTTTACGAAATTATAGTCAATTTTGAGAGCTTCTAATTAAGCTCGGCTTGAGTCTGTTAAAAAAGATTCAAATCCATCTCGTCTGTGTTAACTAATCAATCGATTTACGGAAGTACTCAAAAGTTGAAGTAATATCATTTTTATCTTGTTTTTGAAGTCACAATAGTTACAAAAGACTTTCTGGATTCAATTTTATCTAAATTCAACATCCGATGTAAAAAAAAGGTATCTGCTTGTAGAAATAAAATTTTTACTGACTCGATATAAAATGAGAGAAAAAATGCTTTTAATTGTTGAATAAAAAATTCTTTCAATTATTGATATGGGGAAATTAATTTTACTTGACAATGCAAGTCTCATATTAGTTCATATTGTCTAGCGATTCGCACGTTAATCCCGTGAAGAATAGAGTTTTAAAAAAATGACCTTAAGTTTTTTCTTCTTAATATTGTCGACATTCGACCTTGATGGACTTTGATCGACGATGATTCTTGAAGTAGGTCTTGGTACAGTTGTTGCTGATGAGATCTGAAAAAATTTAGCCCACATAAAAATATACTAAAGAGTTCATTCCTTCTTGTTCCTCATCCCAGAAATGGTTTGAATTTTTCAGAACAAAACTAAACATTTATGAAATGTTAAAAAGGTATTGAGAAGTACTAAAGACCGTCTGAAGAAATTTAAAAAAATTAATTGAAGCTTTTTCTTCAATAAATATTGATCTGAACTAGTTAAAACCAGATACCATCAGTTCCAATCATCTCTTGATAAATACGTCCAGAGAATATAGTTTCAGTCTGTATTTTCAATATATTGTCATTATAACGACATATATAAAAAAAAACGAATTACATTTTCTGAAACTGCTTTCAGTTTTCTATCACTCTGTGTATTTATCTTTTAGTTTACACTTATATACTACGAAAATAAACCGTGTGTAATGGATATATTCTCATCATTAGATTTCTATCGATTTCATTTTGTCAGTATCATCAAAACTACTAGTTTTTTGAAATTTTTCATTACTATTGAGTTTTTAATAAAATAATTATATATTTTGATTCTCTGTCATTTTTTATATTTATCCACTGTATTAAATATATTTATTTCAAAATAATTTCAATGTGACAAACACACTTTAAATTGACAAGTATAAGAAATCATGACTTTTGCTTGTTTTTTGAAAATATAATTACTATGTTAATAAAACAAAAGCAATTAGAGATTCTAATAGAATTGGAAATTTTTTATCATCCTATATATTTATCTGTTGTCTCGTGTGTATCTGCTGTTGTAGATCAATACAAGACAACAGGCAAATATTTAGAACGATAGAAACTTTGAAGTTCTATAACAATATGTGATTATTTTATTTAAAAAAATGCTGTGGTGATGAAAATTTTTGAAAAACCAATCGAATAATAGTAACAAAATGAAATCTATAGAAATCTGATGATGCGAATGCATTCATTGCACTCGATTTATTCTAGTAACGCATAAATGTAAACTAAAACATAGATACACAGGGTTATAGAAAAGTATAAGCATGCTTTCACATCATGTAATTAATTTTTTGTAATCTGTTTCTATCATGACGATATATTGAAGATACGGAGTGCAATTATTTTTTTCTCGAGCGTAAGGCTAAACTCAACTTTAGTTTACAGGTATACAAAGAAGACAATCAACTGCACATTTGGAACTTCTGAGAAAATGCAGCGAAGACAAACGAGTTTTTTTATTTCTTTTTCCATTAGTTCTAATAAGTCAGTGTTGTAAACAGTTAATTTTTTTTCATCGCCATTGAGATATTTATTCATTCAAGATATCAAGGAAAACAAGAAGGAAGGAAGAATATCACCGCTCTCTGGGGCTACCGGTTCGTATTGAATGCTTCGTAGTGGCAGACTCAATAGTTCCATATCTTTCGTATAAGGAATTTTAGTTGTAGCTTCGGATAGAGAATCATTCTGACACAGTTCTGGTACTCAATTTCTGCAATTCCCTATACACGCTAGCTAACCACAAAGTAGACACAAGAGAAGGTATATATCACAACGTAGTCAGCATTCTATTGGGTGAGTGATTCGAGAGAAAAAGCTGTTAATGACTTGCACATAGTCGTTCCAAGATTGGTGATATCGGCCCTTGAACACAATACCTAACTGTATTCTCTTGTTTTCTTAGTTTTTTTCCATGATTTTATTAATTGTCTAGACAATTTGGTTCTGTTCATATTTTTCATATCGCTGTTCAACTTCGTTATTTTTTTTTGCCAGTCATCGATGAGACGTCTATTTGTCTTTTTTTTGCTTTATTTCTTTAACTGAATAATCTGTTCATTATTAAAATCAATTATTTGTGATATGGTGATGAGCTTTTTGCAGTACATTAGTGGAGAGATTTATTGGTATGATGGAAAAGATCGAAAGAAAAATATCGAAAGGAAACATTTCGAAAATAGAGACGCCACAATACATGTGAATGAAGTCATCAAAATTTGAATGATATGGAGAGTAGCGCCTCTACTTTCGACATTTTTCCTTTCGATCTTTTCCCATCCATTCGATTTATTCCGTAGAAGATTCTATTGATTTCAGCAAATTTTTCCATAAGTAGATTAGGAAAACTAAACAAAATGATCTACATCAAAAAGGAACTGTCGACCATTTTGTCGTATTATTGTTACCGATGACGTGAATGGAGAGAATTTTTCGTTGGATAAAGATTTAGTTTTAAAGAAAATCATTGTTGCTTAGATCTGACAACTTTCGCAATATTCGTAAAGGCAATTAAATGCAACTGAATAAAAAAAGCTGAATCCTCAGTCGATGACTGTTCAAACTAAAAGCAAATTTTTTTATCCTCAAATCAAAATAGTTAATCGAGACTGTGGATGCGATAGACTGACCTTATTTTCGATAAGAATTTGGCAAGTATATCGAGATCTGGATGGTTGACATTGATTATTCATGATTGGCTCTTCTTTAATATCATCATCATTTGTCAAATCGATAACTTCAATATTTTTGCTTGACTTTGTGGTACGGTGCATTGTGGAAAAACCTTGAAAAATAAAATTCTTCGTACTGTCAACAGTTTCTCATTTTACTTTTATTCACTGAATCTGTTCGACAGACAGACAATAATGACGTTGATTATTTGATGTAATTCAAAGAATTTACAGAATTAATTATTTTTTCACCACACCAAAACTGATTTGTTTTAACAAACACTGATCAATGAAAAACAAAATCGGATTTGATTTCTAATGCAACTTAGTAACACTTGATGAAGCTGCGAAGAAAATTGAACAGTTGAAATACTTGAAGAAAAATAGTGAAATGATCTAAATGTAATCTATGTGCAAAAAAGATTCTCTTGTTGTTACTATTATAAAAGAATAGATAAGTAAGAGAAAGAAAAATAATCCCTTGCAGGATGTCAATTATTCGAACTGGTGCAGTTTGTGCACTAGTTATCATTAAATTAAGTATCGTGTACATCTTTTTTCATAATCCAAATGAGACTTTCGCTTTGGATGTACATCATTTACGTGAAGCATTCGAAATGATTCTCGATGTTTAATATCAACTCAATCAAATTAAATTGTTCAAAGAAGTCATACAATGATTGAACTTCGACGATGAAAAAATTTTAAGAGATATTTAGTGTTATGTCTATCTGCCATGATGTGTCTAAACCGATTCTTTCTCTTTCTATTCTCTTATGCTTCATATTTTCTATGATTTCTTCATTTCTGTCTATCTCTTATCAAATATATGGTGCTTTTTCTTATGTCTCTCTTCTCGGTTCGTTTTGTTATAATACGTGCTTGATATGTAGAGGTATGTGAGAGTAAATTATTTTTTTTGTGAGAGAATAGTATTCAATGTGTTTGTAATGACGAAAGAAGTTGAAATTGAAATTCTTTGAATGAGCAAGTGTAGAACCAAACTTGTCCTTGATATTTTCATGATACTCATAGAAATCATCAATTGAAATAAATGCGGAAACTTCGGATTTAAATCCGAGAGTTATGTGTACTTCAAAAAGTGAATCATCCTAGACTGTCGGAATATCAAAATCATACTGTGAAATCTACCATTTAAAATCTTGATTTATATTGCGCGTTGCCAACCCAATAGGATATGGGACCGAATACAGCTCAAGTTTGAACTCTGCACCTTGATTTACCCTAAGAAAGTCGTTTTTCCTATAACTTCATTTCTATTGGTCACTGCGCAACTAATAGTATTTCGATGGAAGTGCAGTACACATTCGAGTTCTCCATATCTGAAAACCTCGAAGTATCATCAGTGTGACCGGAAGATAAAGCTCTATTTGTGGATCAATTAGATCGTGGACCAAAATATAACCTAGTTATCTTTAATTATCTTTGTGATAGGTTAGTCAACGTTCTTGGTTCTTTATGTTTTATATATCATTTTGTAGTTCTTGAAATTCTCTATCGAATTGTATATTATAGTTGGAGTTTTAATTGACTATGATAGGAAAAGTCTTTTACGAAAGTCGCGATGGGTCCATTTTTCCACAGAAACCTATAGGGGAAAATGGGTATTTTTGCAATAACTCAGGAACGGCTCGACCGGTCTTTCTCATCTTCGAACTTGACCGACGTATTGTCAAGACTAAGCTTTGTAGAAAGTTTCATCCCAATCTGACTCTGCTGTCAAAAGTTATTATGTAAACAGCCAATCGGACGGACGGACACATGGACTATTCTATAGTCTATGAACTTTTTGAGTACACAAACCTATGATTCGGTTCAAAACTAATATCAGATTCAGAATCAGCGTTAAAAACTGAGTCGATTTATATATCTTGTGAATAATTCAGAGAAAAAATTTTTTTTTTTGAAAAAATCCCCTTAACCCCCCCCTCAGGGATGGTCTGGTCAAAAACCACAATTTTTTCGATAACTCAGCTATTTCTTGGCGGATCCTTCTCATCTTCGAACTCGACCTTAACATTGTTAAGACTGAACTGTGTAGAAAATTTCATCGCGATTGGACTCTTCTTTCAAAAGTTATCGTGTTAACGGCCGGCCGGCCGGACGGACACACAGACCGATTTTAGTAGTGTACTCACTTTTTGAGTACACTAAAAAACAAGGTAATCTTCATAGATTGAACTCAAATGATTTATTAAAAAATGACTATTTTTGCAATAGCTCCGCAATGGTTCGACCAATCATTCTCATCTTCGAACTCGACCGAGATATTATAAAGACTAAACTGTGTAGAAAATTTCATCGCGATCGAGCTCATCTTTCAAAAGTTATCGTGTTAACGGCCGGACATACTGACCGATTCTAGAGTGTACTCACTTTTTGAGTACACAAAAAGATGCCTTCTTATGCTTTAAGATAGAGAATTTCAAGATCTACACAATCGTTGACTTTGTTTTTCAAACATCTTTCTCTTGTCAATGTAAAATTTAAAAGAATAAGATCTATTTAGTCATCCAATTGTGACAATCAAGAAACAAAAACAAAAACTAATGACAACTGTTAAAATGAAGGTCCCTATGAATTTTCCACTATCTCACAAAATTCTGCATCTTTGAATGGATACTGTAGAATTTTAGAAAAAATATTTTGAAGAGAAATAGTTTTGAAGCAAAAAACGTGACAGCATAAAATAAATGTCCTCGTTCTGATAAATTTCACAGTTCAATTTAATATTTATACTCATTTGTTCAGAATCAAAATTCTAAATCTGACAACATAATAATAAATCTTTCATAGAACAAGTTCGACTTTTGAAACTATGATATTCCAAAGTGGATTCAAAATAACTGACAGTTGTTAGGAATCATAGAGCAGAAAATTCTCTATTTATTGGCACTACCTTTCATGTGCAAAGGTTTTATACAAATCAATAAGCGTCATTAGAGAGCATTGAAATAACTGAATAGGATTGAGTCTTAAAAATTTAGTATCGACAAGATTCAACTTGATTGAAAAACAAAATTGACAATTTTGTACAACTTAAAATTTTATATCATCTAGCATATCAAGAAAACTCTTTTTATCCTTACGAACTAAGAGAAAAAAAATACCAAGATTTAGACAACATTTATTCAGTGACGCCCGTTATTTAGCAATATCTCACGATATGTAAATAGACTTTAAAAAAGTCATACATAATCTTTTGTATAAGATCATTGATCTCAACAAAAAAAAAAAATACCCAATTTTTTTATCTATTCTAACTGAATGTTCTCTCAGCGATTAGATAAGTATATATCATACGAATTTGACTATTGTTTTTGTTTCTTCAATTGTGTTTTTTATAAATACGTACAGCAAAACAAAAGAAAACAAAGACAACTAAATCTTTATAATGAAAAAAAAAAATTGAAATAGATATTTATAATGTTTAAGTAAATCCATATGAAATAATATTTCTACAAATTAAATTCATCGCATATTATGCTAATCGATAATCATTATTTCATCATCTTCTTCTATTGTTGTTATTGTTGTGATGGTTTCTGTTGTTGTTATTGGTGCTGTTACTGAAATATTACTTTCTGTCGTGTCAATTTCATTTTCTCCTTCTTTAGTTGTTTGTTGTTGTTTTTTTGCTTCTTCAAGTGTTTCTTTAATTCGATCACGAATACGTGCTTGACGTCTTTGTAAAAATTCAGTTAATTGTCGTTGTGGTTTATGATCTTTTTTTCGAAGCCATTTATCAATAGCCTAAAATAAAAAATTTTTCTTTTTTTTGAAAACAAAAAAAAAAAAAAACACCAATAGATTTTACTTGTTTTGAATCTTGTTTAAGTTTATCAACTAATGTTAAATATTCATCTGGTTTAATATGACGTCGTACATGGTCTAGTACAGCTTGATTATAATAATCTCGAATTTGTTCAAAATTTAAATGTTCAGCTTGTTTATTAACAAATTCATTTTTTAAATGTTGTAATTTCGTTTGTAAAAATGCTAATTGATTTTCATATGATCGTCCTAATTCAGGTTTAATAAATTTATGAAAAAGACTAAATTCACGTGAACAATTAAGACGTGCTAATTTTTCTAAATCAGTTGCTTGTAAAGTACGTCCTGAAGCAAGAGAAGATGCTATTTGTTTAGTTGGTTTTGGTGTTGATGATGGTGTTATTGATGCTTGTGATGTTGATGATGGTTGTCGTTCATGAGATCGAGTAGCAGATATACGAGGAGGTTTAGGTGGTTTACAGAGTGTAGCTGGTGGTGGTTGTTTTTTAGGTGCTTTTGGTTTAGGAGGTGGACGAACACGAGCTGGTTTTGGTGGTTCAAGGCCTTAAATAAATAGAAAACAAAAGATTTTTTTTTTTTTTTTTTGATTTGATGAAAATTTTATATTTTTTTTAATATACGTTTTTGAATTTCTCGTGTTTCACATTTAGTAACTCGTTTGACTGTTCTTTCTTTACGTGTTGGAAATCGAACGCCAAATTTAGGTGCTGCCGTAGATACCATCTAAAACATATAAAGCAAAATTAGTCATTCTGACCATGATATATTTAAAACAAAGATGCGAGGGAGAGAGAAATGTGTCGCTATTGAACGTTAGTAGTAAAACAGAACAAGAAAAATGAATACTTTTTTTTTTTCTTGCTACTTGAACACAAACAATAGAAATGGATGTATAGAATATATATGTAGACGTACGCAGTTATTGCCATCATATGACCTTAACCAAAATAAAAAACCTAAAAGAATATTTTCATCGAATATTGCCTATTGAATTAGTTCGGATCGATTTCTTGTTAGATATTATTTTCTTATCAAATGGCTCTTTTTCTTCTAGAATTTTTTTTATCGAAATCGAATAAAAAAAAAAAACTTATTACTAGAGTCGATTTTTCATATGACATAGCCTAAAGTATTAACTAAATATCGATAAAATAACTGTAGAAAATATTATTCAAAAAGAAAACGAAGACTTACACTAAAATACGGGTTGATATTATATCTGTGTTTGTGCTACTCAGTTTTTGAACAATGTTTTGCTAGTCGACCGACCAAAGACGGCTTGAATATTACTGCGTGCACGTAGACACACACAAATACGCAGAAAAAAAAGAAATGACCGAATGTAAGAACGACGATGGTAAGACTAGGGCGAGCCTCGATTGCAAGAAAAAGAAAGAATAAGGAGACAGTTGACCTCTTATTGAGAGAACGAGAAAAAGAAAAAAAAACGGGCATCGAACCCCAATCGAACGGCCCAGCTATATTAAAGACGTCTCAATATTATACCCCTTATTCTTATCCCCCGATCAGCTATGATGTCATCAGTAGTCATATGATCAAAACGTTCATTTCACGCGGACATTCTATTCAAACATATGCTAGTTGACCTCTGCTAATAATCAAACATAGCCGTTGCTACCTATTCAATACAAGTATAGATCGAGACAACTGACATTGATTGAGCTAAATTCAATGTAAACGAAACGAAAGATTTAGTGTATCTATTCGAAAAAGTATAAAATATTAAAATATTTCTTAAATATGAATCAAAACGATAATAAATATATTTTCTGATACATGATGAGTGTCCCATAATAACTCAGGATAAATTATCAATGACATTTTTCATACTTTTTCTTTCGATACACGTCACACATTTTCAAATCTCTCTAGACATCATGAAAAATGAACATCGCTCTCTACTGATTCTGTTTGTCTATAAAATAATTGTGCTATGAATCATGCAGCATTAATACTTTTTTAAGATAAAATTTGCCATTAAATCTAAAAGATTCTAGTGATCAATGTATTTCTGTATAGATAACAAGCAACTTAGTCAATATGTCGTAATTGATTAAATATAAAAGGATTACAAAAATCCAGTATGAAAATTTACGTATATTCAAACCTATCTATGTATTTCAACATTAGTTTAATCTAGAAAGCTAAAATTTTAAACAAATTACGGTCTGAACTTGATATATATATGATGAAAATTTCAGATTTCTACATCAAGAAAAAGTATGAAAACTATCATTGACAATTTATCTCCGATCATTATTGGATACTTTATTTGTCATGCTAACTGTATATTCATGTTAGATTTATTAAGTTAAACGTAAACACATAAACAAATAAAACTGAAGATATAATTTGACTGGAAACAATTTTAGACAATATTTTCATTTGTTTAAACCAAATGAATCGCTTTTGTTTGAGAATAAAAAAGTATTGTAACTTTTTATTCATAAAGATCATGTTTCTAAACACTACTGTAAATTATTATGTTTTGATTTTAATATAAATATAGCTTCCAGAACAAATTATGTATTGATTCGTTTTTAATTATTTTGATCTCTTGAGTTATTTTGAATTTCGAAGAGATCAACTTCATAGCATATTTATTTGAAACAATTCGCTTGTAATGCATTGAAATATTTTTAATAATTGTTAAAGCAAAAGTGAAATCTTCGGCCAAAACGGTGAACGTATAACCTCAAGGACCGGGAATTTGAAGTTATCATTTTTTAAATCCCTTATGTGCATCTTGTAGAGTATGGTATCAAATGTAGAGAAACATATTTAACATCTGTATAGTTTAATCATGGAGATAAAACTAGTATCTCGTCTTTACATAATTATACATATAGGAATACATAGCATAGAAAAAAACTTATTAACAGAAATCATTGTCATCGCGTTACGTTAATTAAACCGATCTCTCTTTAAAATAAGAATCCTGTTTGAAGAGTTCTTTTTTTTTTCATTAGATACCTCAAACTGTTTGCTACAAAACGTCTGTGAAACGTTTCTTTTAATGTAGCACACATTCGTAGTAAAATAAAGAATAAACAGGTCACCATCAACTGTTTGTTCCTTGTTCATCATCGCGTTATGTCACCTATTTTTGCTTTAATTCTCAAACGACTCATTCAAATGAGCTCAAATTTTCAGAGATTTTGAAGAAGACAGAGACACATCTAATAACGAAAGAGAGAACTTACTAGATAATCTAATTGCTGAGAAAAACTAATAATACTGTAGCCAAAACGTCATCGCGTTATGCTTGAGAAAGCCGTCTTGTGAAAACAGTACAAAATCTCTTCTATCTCGAGTTTAGTTATTTTTAGCATAATAAGAGTACTCAATTTCAATTTTTTATAACGAATTTCTAGATAACCTTTGAAATTCATAAAAAAAAAATACAATTTTATTGTATCAATATTTTCTTGATTGTTATTTAACAGAAATAAAATCATCTCGATATATTTATACATGAATTGATACTATTAATAAACTTATTTTTTGTACTGAAATAAATTTCATCATAAACCCTATGTGTTGTTGATTGTTACCTGTTAAAAACGGGGGTTATAAACCAGTTACAAAACCGGACTTATACCTAGCATGTAAACTATTCGATGATACGAGCGATTTCGTCGACTAGTTTATTGTACTCATTATTTTTAGAAAGAAAGAGAAAAAATGTCATGTGTATGATACGAAATAATTATAAATGCTGATACATAAAGAAACCAAATAATAATATGTCTCATTATCGTGTGAAAAAGAAAAAAAAACTATATTTGGAGGATAATCATTAAATACACGTGATGTAAACAACTTGCATTTTTCTGCTTCATTACACCGGGTATTAATTCGTCGAGTTACTTTGAAGAACGATTCAAAAACATATACGAAAAACCATTTCTCTCAATCATCATGTGTACAATACAAGAATATGATATTTTTTTACTCTATAACTGAAGTACAATAATTAGATATGTTTTTTGACTTGTATATTTCTCATCGTGAATATATACTATTCATTTTCTTTTGTAATTTATTAAAATATATTATTTTTGAAATAAATTATCAAATTTTGACGAATAGAACTAGATATAGAGAATAATTAAAACATTTTTATACTTATGTATTGAGATTTATCTTCAAATATAATCCATCTATTTATTCTTCTAGTTCATATTGATACTCATTTTGATTTAAAGTATATTTAAATGGATTCAAACAGTCCTAAATTGCCATTTAAATCATTTGAAAATAATTATGGAGACACAGATCATGATACCTATACACGAAATTTTGGTAATATTCATTTGTCAACTTTAAACGAAGAAGAATTTACAGATGATCAATCTGCATCGTCTTCAGCATTTCCTATTGTTCCTGAAATACCAACAAATACTATAAATACGATAGTGTCTGAAATTTCAAATGAACCACCACCACCAGCTTTTTCAGCTAGCTTTACTGAACAACAACATCGTCGATCTAGTGCTTTAAAACCAATCGAACGGCAATTATCAATACTTGATCCAATGTCGGATCGTGTTAGTACAATACTAGTTTGGAAAAATTTAACTGTTCAAGCTCGACAAAATAGACAAAAAGAATTTTTTCAACGTTTGAAATCATATAAAAAATTTGTACCACAAAGAAAATGTTTACTCAATAATATCAGTGGAGCTATTGCAGGTGGATTATGGGCTGTGATGGGTAAGTTTTCTTTTCTTTTATAGACTAATCATATTTTAAATACATATAATCATTATGTATAGGTCCATCAAGTTCTGGTAAATCAACACTCTTAAATACATTAGCTTGTCGTTTGGATGTTAATACAATTGTTCAAGGCGAAATGCGTTTAAATGGTGCACCATATGATAATGCAGAATTAAAACGTATAGCTGGTTATGTTATGCAAGATGATATGTTAAATGGATGTTTAACTGTTGAAGAAACTTTAACGTATGCAGCAAAACTTCGTTTACCACGAACATTTACTGACAAAGAACGAGAAGAACGTGTTATGGATGTTATGTCTGATTTAGGTTTATCACATGTACATAATGTTTTGGTCGGTACACCATTAAAAAAAGGTATATCCGGTGGTGAACGTAAACGAGTATGTGTTGGTATGCAATTACTTAATCGTCCACAATTATTATTTCTTGATGAACCAACATCTGGTTTAGATTCAGTTACAGCACTTGATTTACTTCGTACATTTCATGCACTTGCACATGGTAAATCACAAGAAAAATCTGTAACAATTGTTTGTTCAATACATCAACCACAAGCAAAAATATTTAATTTATTTGATTCATTAATTTTACTTAAAGCAGGTCATATCATTTATCAAGGTCCGCGAAAACAAGCAATGGTAAATATATTAAATAAATTACTTCATATAAATATATAAAAACAATTTCTTTTTCTCTCATTAGGAAGTTTATCGTATAGCCGGATTTCCATGTCCTATACATTCAAATCCAGCTGATCATCTTTTAGATGTTATAACACCACCACGAAATAATCCGATTCTTGGTGCAGCTATAATATCTCTTGAACAACAAGCTGCTATTGATGAAGCAATTACAAAAGCACAACCACCACTTGACATTGATCTTAATATGGGTGTTAATAAACGTGTTGCTCAAATGGCTAATCTACCACGTAATCCAACATGGCATACACAAGTA